TAGGACTTGAGAAATCAAGCGAAGACTGGTTCAGCTAGTTCCCGTCTCTGGTAAGGGAACATACGTACATGTGATATGGTTCGATTAGAAAATGCACAAACCAATTGAATTACTCACTACTTCATAATTTCTCATGTAATATCATCTTATAACTAGCTCTGATAATATTTGGGTACTAGTAAAAATAAATTAATTAATTCTTGTATTTTCACTCTAGTACGTACTATGATTTTTTTTTAATACTTATACTGCACTAATCTATATTATCTGATTTTCAGGTTTTTTGAAGGAGGAAGAAGATGATGGATGCAAGCAAGCTGACTGAATCCTATGATTATAATCCTATTGTAAGAACTAATTAAGAAGCGAAAGCACTTCCTCTAAGAGAAACCTAGAATTTTTCTTTTAAGCATTGACTTGTTCTGTTGTGAATTTTTTGGGCCTAGTTTTGCTCATGTTTGGAATTTGTTTATGAACAATGAATTGTTGTAATTCGTATGGATAAATTACAATTAGGTACTTGAAAAAAAAAATGTTTGGGTTAATTTGCATATTCTAAGTAATAAAAGCTCCTTTTTTTTTTCTTAATCATCCTCGAACAAGAATCTCTGATCCAAATGATTGTTGAATGATATGTAAAACCTTCGCATTCTCCCTCCTCCAAATCTCATATTTCATCTCTGTTTTTTACATGAATTTCACAACGCCACAACGTCCGTAAACCTCGTCCCAGCAGCAGATAGCTTCTGAGAAGAACACTCCACGCTAGTTGCCATTTCTCAGTACTTCATGAACTAATAAAAAAAGTCTTAATTATACTTGAATTGTAGTACTTGTCATTCAATAGAATTTTTTTAAAAAAATACCCTAAATTTGTAACAGACTTCAAAGGAGAGTTTCTATCAAACAATCATATATTGTTGGTGAAACACGTGATCGCAGGGCATTGCCGAGACTGCTTTGCCTTCATTATCACCAGCACTCACAACGAACTCTTCCATGCAGATAGGACAGTACTCTTCCAAGCAGATGTGATTCTGGAGATGCCATAACGAAGAGACTCAACTTTTATGGCTTCTTGGGGGATATATATTTTGGGGAAAATGTGTATCATTTTAAAGGAAGTAAAGTTGTGTCATTTTAAGTGAGAAAGAGAGATAGATAAAAGAGGAGAGAGAGTGGACAAAAAAATATAAAGGTGCGGGTCTCACCTCTTTGTGAGAGTGAAAAGATATAAGTTGTGTCATTTAAAAGGATAAACACTTTTCCCATATATTATTATGGGTTTTTATAAGAGTTATGTTGTAGGAATAGTGATTGTGTAATGTTATAGAGATTCGTTTTGCGTGCCGTAATTTTTTCTTTTCTTTTTTCTTCAAAAAGTGTGAGCCCCACAACATTGTGTGTAGGAAAGTTTGTTGTGTCATGTTAAATGACAAATGCAAACCCCTATTATTATACAGAACAAGTCTCCAACAAAAAAACATGTTTTTTTATAAACGGACACTTGATAGTCGTCAGCCAAGGATTAAGGAAAGTTTTTCTTATTAAGGAAATATCCTCTCTGAAAACTTAACGGATACTTGATAGTTGTCAGCCAAGGATTAAGGAAAGATTTTCTTTTATGTTTTTTTTTTTAAAAAAAAATTATGCTTTTTTAAAGATCAATACTTGTACCTGGCATTATACTATACTGGCTTACAATCTTTTAGAGTCATGGTTCTTTAAGCAAATTTATAAATCTCATTTCAAGGCATATAATCTTACACTTTTTATGTCTTTAATTATAATCAAAAAGTCTTAAATGTTAGATAAAATTTAAAATTTATAAAAACATTATAATTTATGCTTTAAAATGTAAAATTCTTAATATGTAAATTTCACCTCACGCTTTTATGGTTGTAAAAGTGTAATATAAAGGTTAAATTATTCTATAAGTCTTTATAGTTTTATTACTTTTTTAAAAAAAATAAGTCCCTATTGTTTAAAAAATTTTAATAGGATTAATTCCTATACTAAAAAAAAAATAAGTCTTTACTCGTTTACCAAAATAAAATAAAATAAGTATTTACTCATTAATAACTGTTAAGAGTCCGTTAACATTTTGTTAAATTAAAAGAACTTCATTGAAGACTTGGATAAACTATATGGATCTATTTATTAAAAGAACACATATGCATAAGCCTCTACACTTTAAAGTTTTTTAATATAAGTTGTTATGCTTACAGGTAGTATAAGTGAGTAAAGATTTATTTCAAAAAATTTAGAAGTATTAGTTATGGATTAAAGGCCAATAGCTGTTGTTTAAATAAAATAAAATAACTTATAAATTAAATCAATTCTCAATTTTAGGATTCTAGACATAGTGAAAGGAATCAACTTTAACGCGGCATTTTAATTATAGCTGATGTTCTTTCTTGGATTATAAGGAGTTGGAATGGATGCATGCACGGTTGCTTATTGGCATATATATGGAGACAATGCATCATTATTCGATCAAGTTGCTTATTTTTAAGTATTATTAAATGTATTTTCTTGATTAAGTTTGCGTCGTATTGTTTATTTGTTGTGTTATGAACCTATGCGAGAAGCCATATTTTAGAAGATCTAAATAAAAGATAATCACAAGAGAAAATTAAGATAAATAAAGAAAAGTATCAATTAAAAATACTAATCCTAATATATCAGATATGAATCTAGATATGGATCCGATAAGAACCAAAGAATCTAGAATTTCAGTACCCACAATTATATTCTATAAATAAGGGGTAAATAGCGCATATATGAACACCTTTTTCTCTCTTTATCGTTATATTGTCATTGTGTACGTACTACTGGAAAAGTCATGAATAGCAAGGGAAATTTGCGAGGGAAAACTTCCCTTGCAAACTGCGACGGAATTTGTAAGGGAAAAACAATTGCGAGGGAAAATAGGTAAGATTTTCGTTACTACATTGCCGTCGCAGAATCCCTTGCAGTTCGGTCGCAATTCCCTCGCAATTTGCAAGGGAAATCGAATCCCTCGCAAGAATCATAAGTCTATGACGGAAACAGCGAGGGAAAAAATTGGCGACGGAAGTTCCCTCGCAAAATTTAGGATCTAAAAATTGCAATTGAAAATTCACAATTTCCCTCACAAATTCCCTCGCAAATTGCGAGGGAATATATTCCCTCCCAAATTGCGAGGGAAAGAGAGAATATATTCCCTCTCAAAATTCAAGAATAATATATAAATCAAATTTAAAAGGACAAGGGCATAAATTGGTCGCCGCATCATGCGTATGAGAAAAAATCATTAAATATGTCGCCGCATCCTTTATGGCAGACATTGAGTGCATGTAGTGGCAGTAGTGCCTATGTCAGCTAGTCATAGGAAAGATAAGACTCTGTTGATATTTAAGGTGTGTAAAAATTGTTCAATAGTGAGAAGCAGAAAAAAATGTCTGAAAGATTCCTGTTCCAACCACCCTCGTCGTCATCACTGTACAAATTAAATGAAAAGTGACACATGCTTCCGATCGATGCTACCAAAAAGGGCATTGGTCTTTGTAGTTGGGCTTTAACCACTTAATTAAAAGTCAAGTCCAGCCCAATAAAGAAAGCTAGGGTTCCCAATTCAAGATGTTCAACAACCTTTTGAACGTGCGTGAATAGCATAAACCCTAAACCCTAACTTTGATCAATTTTAGGACTATGGTCCGCACTTTAGCCCCTTGTAAAAAAATTAGTCTTGAGGTCCCTAACTTTGAATGTGTGTAAGTAGCTTTTTGATGATAAGAGAGTATGGAAATCAGTCACGAGTAAAGAAAAGAGGGAGATAACCATTTTAGAAAATACGCTAATTTAAGATAATAAAGAGCAATCTTTGATTATTCTTCGATATCTCCTTCATCTACCATCTGATCGTACTGGGATTTTTTTGACATATTCTTGACTCATTATTATTCATATTTAACGGTGGCTTTTATATTTATTTTTACCTTTGTATGATTATGATTCCTCATATTTAGTGTGAATATGAGAAATCATAACCATACATAGATGAAAATAAATATAACTGTTGGTTCAACATAATCGATCTAATTGATTGGTTTAGGGTCCAACTTGTGACTCCAACCCTCAGAGGAAAGGGGCCAGGGTTGACCCGGGGGTTGGGTGGGGTTTTAAAACTTGCGAGAGAAATTTGGGAGGAAAAAATTCCCTTGCAAACTGCGACGGAATTTGCAAGGAAAAAATAATTGCGAGGGAAAATAGGCGAATTTTTTCCATCCCTAATAGTATATGATTTATAAAATTCGTCCCTAAATCTGTCTCTAATAGGGACGGAAAATAATTCGTCTCAATTAGGGACATAATTTTTCCATCCCTAATAGAGACCGAAAGAACTTGTCCCTAATAGAGACAGATTTGAGGACGGAAAATAATCTATCCTAATTAGGACAGATTTACGAACTTAATTTTGTATTTAAATGTGAATGTTTATAAAATTGTAAAAACATGAACTTTTTTTTGGATTATCTAGATTGTATGGGTGTTAGTATGTGTGCGTGATGAGCTTCCAACTTGCTATGCATTAGAATTCAAATTAAACAATGAATTGATATAAATATAACCAAAAGACACGAGAATTGTGATTAACAGTGTTTTTAAATTGTAGATTGAATTAATTTTTATATTTAAATTCAAATTTTGAATTTTTATATTTGTATTGACAATTTTAGAATAATCAAATATGCTAATATAGAGTTGATTTTATCCTCTCTTTTTTGTAAGGGTTGATTTTATCTTAAAAAAGTAAGTATAAATTGACAAACAGATAGTGCCAAATGCCAATCAATACATTAACTAATGTATTATTAAATTCATAATTAATAGTGTATTATTAGGATAATAATTTGACATTTTACATTTTACTATATTTGACACTAATTATCTTTTATTTCTTTTTATATTTTCTATTCTTTCACACCATTATTTCATTCCCCCCCTTTACTTCCCGCTTTCGTCGTTTCACCTCCCGCCTCCCCCTTTCATCTAAATTTGGTAGCCCTAATACTTCTGAATCTTTTCCTATTGTGCCATAATTTCTCTAAGCAATAGAAGAACTGATAGTATGGATTTTTACATCTCTTTCAAAAACACTGGAATAGTTGTAGGTGGCAAAAGCAAGATTGTCGTGCGAGTGACTGTGAGAGTGTGTTCACCTTGAATTGGGAAGAAGAGAAGAAGCATGAAGATCCATCACATTCCTACCCTCCAAGACGATTATTCCTATTTATAATATTCTAATTTTGCATTTCTCAGTTTCGATTTTGGGCAATATCTGAATCTGGGTTATTTGCAGGATCGTGGACTGAGACTACCAAAGAAGTTGCAACAGTGGACCCCGTTGAACCGGAGAAGGTTCTCGAAGCTGCCAATTCACATGGCCTGAATCTCAAACTCTGGTAATTGGGATTGCCTATAATTTCGCTATCTTGTTTTTTAGGGTTTATGTCGATTGCGTTTGGAGGATACCCTTTGTCTCCTAATGAGATTGACCATTAAAAGATTGGTCCTTGATTATTGCAGTTTCTGGGATTGATTCTTTTTTAAAAAGGAATATTTTCTTTTTTGGCTGTCTGATTTATCCGTATAATTTTATTTTTTAATGGTAATGCAAGAAAATCAGATTAAGATTCTGGTGTTATTATGTATAAATTAAAGAATAGTGAAGGCTCTTTGCGCTTCTTGTTTAAGGAAGCTTTGCGTCACCCCCACCATATGGCTTATTCGGTAGGCTATGATCCTTGTTCCCATTTGAGCAAGCCTTTTTTCCATTACCGCCACCATAGGGTTTATGCCAATGTTTTTGGGGTTGGTACTAGAAGCAATGGGTTCATTCGTAAAAGTTGCAGCTTTGACACTATTGGTAGTTATAGTGGTAATAGTAATGGGATGTCTGTGAGGGCAGAGGCAAGACCCTGTGGCTTTGCATCTCAACATCGCCAACAGATGTTGGCTGATTTGGAGAAAGGGAATTCTGTGATGGAGGATGACCATGATGCTACTGTGATTAAGGTTGATAATGGATCAGTCAATGGAAGTCCTATTAAACCTCTCAATCAATGGACCATGATGCTATATGCCTTTAAATGTGCAAGAACTGCTTTAATGTATGTCTTATCCTTTTCTTTTCTCTTGCAATATGCATTTACTGCACATTCCATGTCTTTACTGCATATTTATTTATGTTACTATGTATTATATGTCAAGACCTTGTTTTTTATGGCAATAGTGATTAATTACCATGACATCTAGTTCTGGTGCTTATACAGTGTTGGTAATGCTTATGAGTGGGTTGTTACTAAGAAATCGGGTCGTTCCCCTGAGGGGGATCTTGTTTCCTTGATTGAGAAAGGACCAAAGCATCAAAGAGGGGTTCATTTGATCGCGATTCAGCAATAACTCTGAATTTGTGTTTTCTTCTTCATTTCGTGTTCACTGGCTATATCATGCACTGGTTGGATGTATTGAGGCCCGACAAGATTAATGAATGGGGTGTGGAAAATTAATGTTTTGCTAGTTAATTCAAACTTATTTTAAACCGTGATAATGTTTGTTTTCTGATGCACATATCTTGTTTAAATGGTATCTTTATTGACAATATAATTTATTGAAACTAAATCTAAATATTGTTGTAGGTTGGAATATCATCTGGAGCTGCAGCATCAACTGCCATTAAGATAGCAAAAAGACCAGAAATTTTGGAAAGCTTATTGTAGTAAGTTGCTTGTATCCTTACAAATTTGGTGAAAGTATTTAGAAATGTCTGTTGAGAACTTGCAATATACTTTATCCAAAAGTAAGTTTCTTTTAGCTTTCATCCAGATTATATACTTTATCAAATAGAAATATTAAATAACAAATCATTTTACTTTATATTTTTAATACTTTTTATTATCAAGTCACGTGTTAGTTTTATGAATTAAGAGTGGAATTTGTTTATTTAATAAAACTAATATAAAATTTTGTATTAAAAACTATTAATTCGTATACTACTAGTATCTTTTATTTTATAATACTCAAATACCTACATTATTATTATTCTTACTATTTAGGTATTTATCTCTATATTTAACGTTAATTTGAGTTTTGTCTTTATAAATTATTTAACACATTAACTTTTATTTATGTGAATTTGGCGCAGTTGGATCTTGTCAGCTAACTCAGCAAGCGGACTTTATGAAGCAGCAAGCAGACATGATGAAACAAATGCAGGAACAACTCCGAATTTTAATGCAGGACAAGGAAGCCAACTGCAACAAGTCGAAAGGACCGGCGCCGGATGATGACCCTGATGATGATGATGATGACTTTGCTAGGACTTTAGAGACATACTAGTTGTTATTTGTATGTTTTACTTCTTTTAGGACTTCAGAGATATATCAGATATTTTTTGTATGTTTTATTTTGTTTAGAACTTTAGATACATTTTAGTTGTAGATTTGATGGTTGTTATTGTTCACTTTTGTTGAAATACTATTTAATTTTAATTTAATTATTTATCCAGTAATTTTTTGGATTTCTGTTGCTCAATTTATGTTCATTTGGAATCCTAGTTGTTTACAGGAAAATTAATAAAAGTTTAATACATTTTTTTATTTTTTTTATTTTAATTACAGAATTTGTGGCGGAAATTTTCAAAATTCCCTTGCAAAATTCATAGCCTTTTGCGAGGGAAAATCAAAATGTTCTCTTGCAAAATTCGTAGGATTTTGCGAGGGAAAATCAAAATGTTCCCTTGCAAATTTTGCAAGGGAAATTTAATATTCTCCTCGCAAACGGAAAAACACTGTAGATAGGTCTGTTGTTTGCGAGGGAAATTTACTTTTTTGCAAGGGAATTTTTCCGTAGCAATTTGCGAGGGAATTGTCATATGACAAATTTTCCTTGCAAATTTATTTGCGACGAGGGTTTTAGCAAGGGACGGTGTTCCCTCACAAATTCCGTCGCAGACAGTTTTTGCAAGGGAATTTTTCCCTTGTTGATTGTGAATTTTTTTATCAGCGTCGTTACTGATGATACACTATATTGTCAATGTGTATTTTGATCAACGTAGTTACTCCTCATACACAGCAATCTGCTACACTAATCCATAGACGTTGAATCGCCATTGTTGAGATATATAGTCCCACATTGGTTGTATGTGCAACTAACGTGGAGTTTATAAGGCTTTGAACACTCTCACCTTTTGAGCTAGCTTTTGGGGTGGTGTATCCCAAGCATAGTATCAGAGTCTCGGTGTACCGGGTTCGAACCTCGTCGCCCCCCACTTTCTCTCGTGGAATTTCTTAGCACAGGTAGGCTGGGCCTGTTGTATCATCCACTCTTCAAGCCCAATGGACTCTTGTGTGAGGGGGCGTGTTGAGATATATATAGTCCCACATTGGTTGTATGAGCAACTAATGTGAAATTTATAAGGGTGCACCCTTCTCACAGTCACCGCCCCCTACTTTAAAATGGAATTAAAATAAAAAGCGTAAACCAAAAATTGAGCCCATAAAAAGGTAAACCAAAATTTGGGCCCAATGGGCTGTCGTGTGAAGGGACGTGTTGAGATATATAATCCAGCACAATGGGCTGTTGTGTGAAGGGGCGTGTTGAGATATATAGTCTAACATTGATTGTATGTGCCAACTAATATGTGGCCTTTATAAGGTGTCGTTCATTGAGCTAGCAGCTTTTGCGTGGATGTATCTAGCCATGGCTGCTCTGCAATACTTGGACGCTGTGCAGGGCGCACCCTGAGTTTTCTGATTGGTGCAATTTGCTTGCCGATCTGGACCAGAAGAAGCTATGGCACCAGCTCATTCTCAAGCTCGAGCAGTTCGTAGCTCTTGCTGTTTTCCACGTTTCACTTTCATTTTCTTCTCCCCCTCCAACTCTTTTTTTACTACTCACTCTTTTCCCTGCCAATTGCTGCAAAACTAAACTAAACTCTTTTGTGTGCTCGTTTTGTTTCTTTGTTTGTGAGGATTAGTGTTTTTTATTTGGCCGTTGCTATGAACTTAACTTGCAAGTTGAGATGCTGTGTCCGAGAGCTAATAATAATGCTGTTTTCTTTCTTATAAATTTTCAGGCTGGCGATGCTCTGATACAGTTATGTCACAATTTCATAACAGACTTTGAGACCAAAATCAACCTTCTCAAGCTTGCACGCTTTGCTGTTATCTTTTCTCGGCAATATTCTGAGAAAGAAGCCGCCATGTCTTATCTTGAAGGGGTCATTGAGAAACTGCAAGCCACTAGAGAGCAGCGCACAGAAGAACCTATTATTTATATTAAGATGCAAATAGCCATATTCAAGCTTGAGCAAGGTGACCAGAAAGAATCCAAGAAACTACTCGAAGATGGAAAAAGTACCCTTGACAGTATGACAGATATTGATCCATCTGTCTATGCTAGCTGTTACTGGGTATCATCTCAGTATCATAAATCCCGCCAGGAATTTGCTGAGTTCTACAAAAGTGCTCTTCTCTATTTGGCATACACCTCAGTGGAGTCACTTTCAGATTCATTCAAGCTGGTATGTCATCAGTACCGTCTTAAATGTTTTTTGTTTTGTTGATTGATTTCTTTTTTGTTGTCTCAATGTTATGGCTATTTGCTTGCACTTTCCTCTGGTATCAGTTGCTCTTGACTCATACTATGATTTATATGGTTGCAAACGGAGATTAGAAGAGAATTTGGAAGTTGTTTCATGTTGTGACCTTTTTATCTTTTTCCTCAATCTTTTGATTCTTTTCATTTTGGCTCATCTGCCACCGACCCCATTTAGTTTGGGATAAAGGTGTTGTTGATGTTGATTTTGATGTATATCATCATTACACTATGAAGATCTTTATGTTGTCCTTAGTAAAGTTAACATGGAGAAGTTTGAAGATATGTTGATGCTCCTATTTTTGGTAAATGGTCATTAAAATCTGGGTTTTATGAACTCATTTAATTCCACTTCCTTTTTAACGAGAGGTTGAAGGAGTTCGTGGTAGCTTATCTGATCTATGCTTTGTTTTCTATTTATCTGCAAATGTTATAATCTGAGAACGCACTATTTTTTTGTGACTTGTTAGGATTTGGCATTTGATTTGTCCCTTTCTGCTCTGCTGGGGGATAACATCTACAACTTTGGAGAGTTACTTGCCCATCCTATAGTATGTATCTAGATCAAAATTTTTGGAATGCCTATCTTTTAAATTTCTTTACTTCATTCATCTATCTTTTTGAGTTACTATGTTGGTTGACATAATCTATAATATCTTCCAACAGATTAAGAGTCTTCTGGGGACAAAGGTGGAATGGCTTTACTATATTTTGCAGGCATTCAATTCTGGAGATTTAGTTCGATACCAAGAATTATGTCGGGAGCATAATGATGCATTAAGGGCACAACCAGCACTAGTTCAAAATGAACGGAGGTTATTGGAAAAGATCAACATTCTCTGTCTGATGGAGATTATATTCAGGTATATATGCATTAATTAGATCATCATAATTTTCACATGTAGAGATGAATTTAATAACTGCTTGTTTCATTCCGAACTCAAACTGATTGTGGGTAGTTGCATTCGGCCTTCAGAAGATCGAAGTATCCCCTTGAGTGTAATTGCAGAGCGTACAAAACTTTCCATAGAGGATGTGGAGCATCTCCTTATGAGGAGCCTATCTGTAAGTTCTAGGAAAAACATATTAAGAAGTTTGTGTGATTTTCAACCATCTAAACTAATACACTTTCAACCTATGCATTTGGGTAAATGTTAAAACTCTCTTCAAACTTTTATTTTTAGAGTTATTAGTGATTCACCCGCATCTCATTAGTTAATTAGTTTATATTATTTTATAGTAAGGGTTTATCATTAATGACAGTTAATCATGATTTCTAGGCTAGCATTATTGTAGTATGTATTTCTCTAAAACATTGGGCCTTTTGTGTTTTACTTTCATTCATCCTTAATGGGCTGATGACTACTATTATTTGTTTGGCCCTATTATCTCTTTGCTTGACACATCAGCTTCGCTTACCTTTGTGAGGTCTTTTAAGCAACTAATTGGATACGGTGCCGTTTACCAATTGTGAAGGTTTATTAACCCTTTGGTAACTTAGCTTATGCGTGTGTGGCATTTTTACACTGATACACTGATATTCATTTCTCCCTCTCTTGTTCGTATCTTCTTGAAAGTTCTTCGATTAGGGTTTGTGAGAGAGAGAGTTTTGGGAAAATCTGGCTTGTAGAATGAGTATCTTTACATGCTGTTTTGGAGATCCTTGTTCAGCTCAACAAGGGGATTCTTTTGATCGGTGCACAATCCTGATTGATACTCAAACGGTGGAGAGGCAAATCTGCAAGGAGGATCGGTGAAGCTCACGGTTGTCAGCTTGGAGATCCAGTGAGAGGAACTACGATTCCTCTACTGTCTTGTGAAGATTGGTGACGTCTATTCCATTTTTCTTTGGGTTTTGATAATTGGTTACCGATCTGTTAAGCTTGATGTTTTTCTGTTCAAGTTTGTTTGCTCTTGTTGTTCTGCTCTGTATATGGTTTTTTCTTCATTTGATTAGTTCTCTTTATCGTTGTATCTGTAAGTAATAACTCTATACCTGTGATTCTTGCTCTCTGAATAAAGTGTGATATCAGAGGGCGTTTAACCCTCTTTAGGCCCCAGGACGTAGGAAACTCACTAACCCTGAGTTTCTGAACCTGTAAAATACTGGTGTCCTGATTCTTTATGCTTTCTTTATTCTTTCTTGTTATGTTTCTTGCGTTACTGTTTGTGAAACGGATTTCCCAAATTACAACAAGTGGTATCAGAGCTTCGGTTCCATTTCTCTTTCTGTTATTTTCTTTGGTCTGTCGTATTTTTCCCCCCCTCTCCCATTCGGTTTGCTTGCTCAGCTGTGGAGGTTCGGCAAGATGGGCATCACTAAGCTGGAGGTGGAGAAGTTTGATGGGAGAAGTGATTTTAATATGTGGAAAATTAAGATGAAAGCTGTGTTGGTTCAGCAAAAATGTGAGGATGCAATAGGACCTGCAAAGGACCTACCTGAAAACTTGACACCAAAGGAAAGAAAGGACCTTCTATCTTTAGCTCATAGTCTTATAGTAATCAATATCTCTGATAGTGTACTGCGTAGGGTTAGCAAGATCACTGACCCTCATGAGCTCTGGCTAAAGTTAGAGAGTCTGTATCAAACCAAGTCAGCCCCCAACAAAATGTTCTTGAAGGAAAGATTTTTCTCCTTCAAGATGGATCCTAGTAAGTGTCTAGAGGATAACCTTGATGAGTTTAATAGGTTAACTCTACAGCTGGAGAATGCAGGGGCTGTTGTCTCTGAAGAGGATCAAATTCTGATCCTCTTGAATTCTCTTCCTGACCCCTATAGAGGGGTTAAGGATGCCATAAAATATAGTAAGGGAGATATGACCATTGATGAGATTACTGAGGCCTTGAGG